GAATGCCAGGTCATTCAGCCAAACCCCACAAAACCCACATGAAGAAGACTGAAAGCCAGCATGCAGAGACATGGGGGAAAATCATTAAAAATGAGGAATCACTGGGCAGCACAGGTGCTTCCAGCAGAGCCCACCACCACCCAACCCCTGCCCCGTAGTCTTGTCTTTGCTAATGAGCTGGAAAAATTATGAAGTCATTTTTTAAAGGCTACCCTAACACAAACACCAGCGCTGAGGGGCTGGGATTAGAGAAGGGCAGTTTGTGAGTGACACAGGAATTGATTAATTATAATTACAGGAAGAGGTGAGTTATGAGGTGCACAAGGAATCGCTTGCCGAGGTGGACTCCTCTGGACACACACTGTAACGGTGCCAAACGCGAGGTCGCGCTTCCAGGAACCGGGAATGTAGGTCACACTTCAGGGCCTGTTTCCCAGAACGTGGGGAGACCGAAAGGACCCAGGAGTCCTGGTCATAGCTGCATGAACCAAGACAGGGTGATGCTACAGCACGGGGAGCTGGCATCACTCCAGTGGGCGCGAGGAAACGGGCACGGCTAGAGGGATTACTCCAGTATTTGGCAGCAGGTAGGATACCACTTGCATCTCTTTCTTGACTTATAAGTAAATGGAAAAGCAGAGGGGATTGAAAGATCTGCACAGACAAAAGGAAATCTGGATTTGACAGCCCCAAAAATTCACTTCATTTCTTTCCTCTGCAAGAGAATTTGGGAGCGATTTAATTGCAGCCTACAAGTGTGAGTATGAGGAAGATAGGTCAAAACGACATTCAAAAATTACTGCTTCTCATTGCTGCTTTGCCCTCACCACTGCCATCCCAAATCCTGTTGCAGCCCTCTGAACATGGCTCACATCTTTATGGCCACCATGGTATCTGATCTAGATTTAAATAAAGTCGATAACAATATCTCCACACTTGCTTCTGACAATGCAGCAGAGATTACGCCCGTAGGTTTTGAGGACTATACGCATCAAAGCAAGGCGAGGCTGGCTGATTACACAAAGGAGTCTTGCCTCGTGGCGAATGAAGACTCCTCCTCTTTCCACCTCATGCATGGACAACTGGCAAGGCGCACAGCTTCTCTGCTGAGCTTTACCTACGTAAGACCTAACATGACTTGTTCAGCACCTTGGTACATCTTCCTACTGCAACGAGAGGCTCAGGAAAACTGGCTACATTGGATCCCACCTCTAATTTTGAACACAGGAAGGGAGAAAAAGCCTCCCAAGCCTCCAGTAGCACCAGCAGCTCCCTCTTACCCAGGTGCCCAGGTAGGTCAGCAGATCATGCAGAGACAGAAGAACAGAAGAGTCTGACCCCATCAAGGCTGTCAGGTGTCAGGCTCGTGGCCAACAAGCTCGTGGTTAACAGGTCACCTACCAGCCCATCTGCTGGAGACAGCATCTCTGCTAAGCCCATGTAGACATCTTTCCAGTGCGTGGTAGATCCTGTCCTCTGTGCACGTGGTGTGCTGCATTTTAATTCATCTCCTAAAGAAAGAGAAAGAAGAAAATTACTGTACTGGGCCCTTAGTTAAGTGCAAGGAAGAGAGCACTGCAACACTTGTTCTGCAGCACAGACAAGATGCTCCTAGTGAAACAGCACCCCGTTACTGCCTCCTGTCCCCCTTTCCAACCCCAAAGCCAGAGATGCACCCCACTCTGCTAGCTGTCATCTTCCCCTCTGCTCCCCCAACCCCTCCCAACCATGGCAAAGAAAAGGAGGCGCACACATCCACGACCCGATCACGAGAGGCTGTGGGGCCAAGGCACCCTCCCCCAACCTGCTGCAGGCATATCTGCCTTCTCACAACTTCCGTCTGCGGGACAGATCAAGTCTCGCTCACGTGTCTGTGGCAAGGAGGTAATCTTGGGTTAGCTTCCATCGAAGATAACACTGCAAGAGATTACAGCTGCAGCACCTTCCAACAGGGTCGATGGGAATCATAGAACAGCCTGGAAGGCACAGGCTGGAAGGAATCTCAAAAGATCATCTGGTCCAACCTGGGAAAAGCGGGGGCAGAGCCCCACCTCCTACTCCTTGCGTTAGGCGTGGATTGTCCTTGACAGCTGTAGTGTCCACTGGCGATGGTCACAAACTCAGTCCCAAGTGCTAACCTTGTACCAGCCAGGAAAGCCTCCGGTACTGTCACCTTGCTGCCACGCAGCCAACATGAAGAAAAGGTCCATGTGCCCTTGCGGCAATGCAGGAAAATACAGAGGGGACCTCAGCCCCAACATCCGAGGACATTGTGAAACTGCGGATTGCATGCCTGGCTGCAACCTTTTCACAACGCGGCTCTGTGCATCTCACCTCTCCGCCATGGCTCAGGGTACAAACCTAAACCTTGGGCTGGCAGAGACTGTGCTGGGGGGAAGAAGATTTTATCCCACTCAATCCATATGCATCTGTCTGAGACACCATGAAAATAAAAGCAACTTGCCCAGAAGGTCTAATTCTCAGATCTGCCCCAACCATGGGCAATCAAGGAGGGTGCCCGGGCAGAGATTCCCTCCTCTCCTGCAGTGCCAGCCTGGGGTAGGTGTCTCCCCGCTCCCAACACACAGAGAAGGGTTCATCCCACAGACTCTTTGCCTTTTGATTAGAGGCAACACAAATGCATTAAAAATAATCCAGAAGGAAGAAGTAAAACCTGCTAATACTACAAAAAACACCTGCCGAGGAGGCCTTTGCTTTCATCCTGGACAGCACGTTCCTGTACCTATGCCACACGCTCATGCGGTTCCCAACACTACCCCAAAATGCTTAATTCTGCTTAGTTGGACAACGTTTGACGCTCGGTATTCAGTGGTGGCTGTGCCCATCACAGCTCCCCACCTCCACCATGGCAGGAGCAAAAGCTGCTGTGATCTCGGCAGAGGTTCCACCCAGTCCCCCCGCTTGGTGCACTCAGTGTGGCCACCTCCACCCACACTTACTTACAAGCAACTCCCCCAAAAGGGTTCAGTAAAGCCATGTGCGGCTGCTGGGGCTCCCCAAAAGCCAAGGGAGCGGCAAGGCTGGCTCCAGCCCCACCACTTGGTCCTTCCTATGCTGGAGAGAAGCCACCAATGCCTCCAAACAGGTGAAAGCAAACGCACAATGAGGAACCACTGACCTGCCAAATGCAAGCTCTCTCCTTTACCCCAAAGAGGCTCATGGGCTCCTGCCTCTTGTGTCCCACTGCCACAGCCTGTTATTATGATCTTCACCAAAAGTTTTATCCATCCACAGTGCGTGCGCAAGGAACACCCAAGAAACGTTCTGCCGTGGTGCCGGGGACTGAATGAGCGGGGAAGCTGCACATCAGCACCTTAGTCATGACTTGTGGCAAGAGGAAAGCAGTGACTAAGAGCACAGCATGACTCATAAGCACCCTTTACAACACCCAGCTCACAAAAATACACCTCCCCGCACGTCAGCTTGTTTTAGAGCACAGCTCGGTCCTCAGAGGGGAACACGCTCCTCACCCCACGCTCGGGGCAAGCCACGTGCTGGCCCAGCCATCCCTTCCCAATGCCTCTCATATCCCAGCACAGAACAGGCAGGGAATTTAAGGACAAAATATGACAAAGATATTACCATAACTTTCAAACCACAAGCACAAAGACTTTGTGTTTTTTTTCCTGGTGTGCTACAGACCACACATGAATCTAAACCTCCTCTCCCAAGGCAGTGCTTATGGAAGCATCTTTCATGGGAGAGAACTGAGTTTGTCCACCACAACCGAGTAGAAATTTTTCAACCTCTTTGACTGTTTATTCCCCAAACTCTCCCTTCCTTCCCACCCACACTGAGCAAAATGACATGGCAGGGACAGTTCCAGAGGACGTAATCAGACTTTCCAAGGAGCTCTGTTAAGCATCTCAACACACAAGAAAAAACAAGTGTTGAGGTCAAGGTTTTTAATCAATGCTTGCAATGGTTTATGAGGGTGTTGAACAACTCTGAAAAAAATGATGTGTCCCTTCATCATCTCCCTCCAGCTGGACTCCCAGTAGCAGAGGTATTCTGAGCAGGTGGAAGGGACGGCGCAGTCGCTGTGTGGTGAACTGCCTGTGGTCATGTTTCACAATACACGCGGAGCAAACGCTGTGAGCGGTAATGCCCCAGCACCCTTCGGGGACACCCTCATCACGGAGCCGGCTGCTGCTCTGCACATTTCCAAGCAGAGCAACATGTTGCAAAAGATGTGGGTTTCCCTGCCTTCTCCCCAGGTGTCAGCAACGCTTTCAAGAGAGCACAACCACCACCCAGGGAAGACAGAAGGGTTTTGATGGACCAGTTGAGACAACACAGCAGGAAGGATAACGAGAGACCTTCAGACATCGGATTGCCACAAATCTCCTGACAGCAGCTCTGCAGGCAATGCAACACGGTGCCCACACATCTGTTCAGCCCCTATGTGAAGCATCTAGAGATATTGCTCTTAGGAGGCAGGAATAGAGGGGACACCACAGTAGTTGTGAGGAACGTCCTCAGGCAACGACTGAGTACCACCCTTGGACAAGGCATTAACTACCTCTCTTGCGTACGGAAAAGTGTGGCCAGATCGACGGCCACCCCTGCTCTGCAGTCTTAGCGAGAGCTGAGCAAAGCAAACAGAAGGGCTTTATCCCACCATGCCTCGCTCACGCATCGGACCCCAGCCGAAAATCAAGCTATGGGACTTCGCGCCCTGGATGTTCTCCAAGATGAGATTGGTTTCCCTTCTCCAGTAACTTCGCACCTTAAAAGCAGCCTCCAAACACTGTGCAAACCATACAGTCACCATTTAAGAGGCAGAGAAGACAATGTTTGGAAAAGTAAAGCAATTTTTCTGCTGTCCCACAGTGATTTGTGGCACAGCTGAGAGCAGAAGGCAAGTCTCCAGCTCTCCAGGCACGTTCCTTACCTTCCATGCCACCTGCAGTATCAGCATAGTCAGAAAGGACTGGACTTCTTGCAAGAAGATAGCTAGATCTCACTTAGGTAGAGTCCCCATCACCTCACACCGCTCTGGTCCATACATGTAGCTGACCAAGATAAACATCTACCATAGCACGTCCCAAGAAACACCTTCCTCTGTCTCTCCCACACAGGACGGCCGCTCGCCATCAGCAGGGCACATCTACAGACTGCCCCGACGGAGGCGGCAAGAGGAACTGACAGAGACCGAGAAGGGAACTGGGAACCCGGGAACCACAACCGCACGGATCGGGGTGCAGGGAGGCGGCCGGCTCGCAAACAGCTCCAGGACGAGTCAGGCAGAAAGCAAGGCTTCCTCTCATTAATATTACATGATGCGGATAATGTTACAGCACTCTCGGCCACAGCGGTGACGACATTTAAGTCCTCTGGTTTTAAGAATCCCACATCCTGAGGGAAACCAATTTGCCTCAAGGTTTTGCCCCGTTTTTGACAAATGGCCAACAATTAGCAACATCGTGGGCATGGGGCAAAGTTGAACCTACCCGCTCAGAAGGTCCAATTGCCCAAAAGGCACCTGATAATTTTCTAACAAGGCAAAAAAATAATGATTAAAGTGAGTGAGAAAAAGCTTAGCACACTAAAGCTCAGTTTGGAAAGTATCTTAAGAGTATTTGTGAAATTGTCCCAGCACCTTGCATGGATGCAAGATCTTTGGAGAATTTCCATCTGAGATTGCTTAGTTAGAAGTCTTCATTCATCTGTGTTTGTCACAGTCAAAAAGGTGGACAGATAAATTACAATGTTCCTGTTAACTAACATCAAACAGGTAAACATTTATCCCTTGGTGGAAAGAGGGAATTTGCTGATCATTGTTTTTAGATTTTCACTTGTTGTCCTGCTTTGAGACACAAGGTTTGCAAAAATCCCAAAGTTTTCAAGTAATATGAAAAAAACCCACTACCAACAAAAAGGAATATATTTTCCTGCTGAGCTGTGAAGCCCGAGGCCATGGGGAGCCCTGAGGGTGTCAGAGCTCCATGACAGGGGCTTTCCACTCAGCTGGGACAGACTGTGGTTCCCCCACTTGCCTTCACTGCCCTGGGACCTTGCACGCCTTTTCTCCTGCTCAGTATCAGAGCAAAGGAGAACACCTCAACTCCTTCATGCCCAGACGACGCTGCCCCAGGAGCAGAAGGTCCCTCTGCACACAGCAGCCAAGTCAAGGAGATGACCAAGGTCACCAGCGATTCCCACATAGTCAGGACAGGGCACATGAGAAGCTGAATCGAGAGTCAGATGGACTTTTCTGCAAGGAGGAGCACTTTTCTTGTATTAAGGTCCACATGAGTCCTATCTTCAACATCCAAAGGACTTCTCTGATCTCCTTCTGTAGTGGTGGAGCCCAGGACAACCACCATTAGATGAGAACAGAGGGAAGGAGCTCAAAGATCAAGTCCAAAGTTGGTGTTCCCAAATAAAGTAGTGAAAGGAATTAGACCACCCCCTCCCGGGACATCAGCCACCTCCAATCCAACCAGCAAGGCAAATCCCTGCCCACCCACTCCAGACAGCTCCATCA